CATTATTCTAGCACAGGAACTAATGTTTATGTAAATCACCATTGGTTTAGCGCTAACATATGACCTGTTTTTTTCCTCATTTGACATTTATGGTCCTAAATGAAGGCCTACGGTTCAACACTGGAGCTTAGTGTATAGTTTAAATAGTAATATTATGCTTAACTGTTTAAATAAAGAACAGTTTCAGTATGTATTATTATAGCAACATTATAGATAACAAGTTTGTGTTTATCCTGCTCTTTCACAACAGACAGCACATGAAGGATACAATGATTAGCATAAACATACGTTCAGTATATGAAGCTAGAGACACATTTGAGATTCATTGCAAAGGTTAATGTGACTAAAGAATGAATGAATGTAATCAGCTCATATAATAACAGAACATCATGAAACAAATAACTGTGTTACAAGATACTTTTAACAAGTATGTTAAACTACAGATTTGTTTTTATCTTGCTCTGTCACACCAGACTGCTCATAAACTGCTCGGTGATTAGCAGGAGTCATGAGTCATTGGCTTCAATATTAGTCATGTATTTTTCACAGTTATTATCTTTTGGTTGATCTAAGTGCTTCTGTTTGATCTCCCTTTTCTGTTTTGTACAGTTTGTATCATAACTGCACTGGCACAGCCCAGAGCAGAACGAGGTTCTGTTGTTGAGTCTTCTCAGTTCTTCTTCATGCTATTAGAGGTTTTTTTGTTATTCTCACCCTCAGTTTTCTCATTTGCGGCCTTGGTCTGGTTTTCTGTAAAGCTGCTTTGTAACATTGAGTGCGTTTACATGCACTCAATAATCTGATCGTAATTGGATTTCTGCAGTTTTCTGATTATTCAAATGGTCACGTAAACAGCATACTCAGATCTAGAAATCCGATTAAGAAATCCGATAAAAAGAGCTGGATTTTAGTTCAGTAATCAGATTTCTCAGTGCATGTTAACTCTTACTCTGATTTCTTTCGGATTTCTCAGTGTGTGAAAACTTATCGTGGTACCAGAAATGAGCAAGCAGCATTGCCACGAGAGGCAGCAGAACACTTTTTGGAGTGGCACTGAAACCAACTACATGCTTGATGAAATAAAGGATTTAAATATTCTTTATTTTCTAGATGACATATATTCATATTTCAGATAAAGTGGCACAATGGGTTTTTATTATAGCTGAGGCATTGAGTTTGAGTTTACATTACACTTACATCATGCCTTCTCCTGTGAGTTTATTGGCTGATAGCAAAGCAGAAATCTGATTACTGCTTGACTCATGTAGACCCGGAGTTTCCCCATTATCTGATTACTCAAGTGCATATAAATGCATTTATCGTATTACAGAATCGGATTACAGAATCCAATTTTCTGCAGTTATCAGATTATTAAGTGCATGTAAATGCACTCACTGACTGCTGTCAAAAAAGCTCTATATAAACAGGACTCAATGAAGGCAAGTTGCCATAGTGCTTGAAAAATGCATAAATAAAGACTTTTCCAGGTATTACCGTCTAATATATTGACCTCTTAAATGGGTATAGGTATAGGTATAGGTAAATAGGTATTGCCGTCTAATATATTAACCTCTTAAACTGCGCCCACTAGCAGGCCCATCATTTCATACACACTTCTAAGAATAGAGTAACCTAAGAATAACTCAACCAGTTTGCATTTAAGTCTCTGTAGTTACTGAATAATAAGCCTTAATACTGTAGTAAGCCTGGGATTTTAAGGGGTTTATTAAAGTCAGCCCTTGGCTGCTCATTAGGGCTTGGACCCAGATTTGTGGGATTGGACCTGGATTTACTGTGAAGCTGCTTTGTGATAATGCCTGTCGTACAAAGCACTATACAAATAAACTTTGACTTGATATACCACGGGAGTCATGATTAATGCGTGATCATCTTTTAATATAAGTATTCATTTCACTTGGTTATGGCAGTGCTACACTAAATGTGAAACCTCTGAAGCAATGGCCATGCTGTGGAACTCAGCCTCTGTGGTATGCCGTTGAGTGCTTTGACCTGTAATTCAACCGTTACACAGCAATCTACAACGCAAGCCTATCTAAATTTCAAAAATCACAGTCATAATTTACAACTCCCCCAATAATTAGTTAGTTAGTTATAGCAATAATTTGGTTATTAATAATGATAAAAATGTTGGATTTACTGATATAATAAATGCTACCATAAAACGTGTCACTAATACTAAAGCTGATATGATACTGATGAAAATATTTTTGCTGCCCACTCCCCCAGTTCTACAAAACTTGGTTGCAAAATTTTCCACTCTCCGGATTCACTGAAATTCCTACCTCAAGCACAGCATATTCAGCTAGAGAGTTGCTATGGATGATGTTATGCCTTTTAATGTGTTAATTTTGACATATTAATGCATAAAAAGGACATTTAAGTGCAGTAGCCTATACAACAAGAGACTGTATAGACAGTACATATTTCTTTGTCTGAGACTGAGACTAATGTGTTACATTAACATTATCTGTGATTGTGGTTGCTAGCACTGTGCTAGCTATCAAATGAAAGTGGATTTAAATCTAGCTGAGCTGATCAGCTGTAATATAATTTTTCCTCAGTTATCCTCAGTTTTGTTTTGAGAGCAGAGTAAAAATTTGCCTGATGGCAAACTAAGTTACTCAACACTATTATTTTAGCTGACCTATATAACTTTGCTTCTACAGTCCAGGTCCTAATAGCTAAAATGATATGCTTCAAGGTATTAAAACTATTAGGGATCAAGAGTGATGTTAGCTCTGGAATCATGTTCAAATATGCATTTGTGTTCTTATGGTAGGCATCAAAAAAGAAAGGAGGGAGATGCAAGAGGCTAAGGCTAACAGACATGGGGTTAGAACAGCTATAATTATAGGCAGGGAGTGAGGCAAGATGTTAGGCAGAGGTGCTTGTAGAAACACACAGTTGGTTTTTCATTGATTGTGCTCTTTAGCCTTGTTTTGCTTCTGTTACACATAAAAAAAGAACACCATAACTTTTTAATGAACGTAATATTTAGATAAAGTAAAAAGTTTGTTCTGAATTGCAAAACATCAAAATGGGATATTTTAGTAAATTATATCTACATATAAATTATATCAACATATCACTATCAAACCTGTGGAAATAATGGTACCACTTTAGAATAAGACTACCCTTATAAAGGGTTTATGAGTGATTTAAAATTAATTTCTAAATTAGTAATACTTAGGTCATAAACACCCTAAAAAGCATGAATAAACTGTTATAACACATAATAAAGGGCAAAAGTGAGCTTGTTATATCTGATGAATATGAATATGTGATGAAGCTGACAGGTTTAACGCAGACTGATGAAAAAGACAAAATAAAATCAGTACCCAGCAACATCTGAGCTTTCTTCGCAGCATAGATTAGTAGATGTGTGTTAACTATTAGGCGAACAACAGGCCACCCTTTTTGTTCATGCATTGTAACTGCTTGTTAATGGTTTTTAAGGGATGTATGAACTAATTAATAACAATTAATAAAAACATTTTAAACCAGCCATAAACGCTTTATAAAGGGTAGTCTAATTTTAAAAAAGTATTGAAATAACCCACACACACACACACACACATACACAAAAAAAAGTGTTCAACCCAAATTTATGCCCTTATAATCTATACATGGAAGTCCTGAGAGGCCCTGCAGTAGTTATCACAAAAACAATTGAGTAATGATCTCAAGATAACAATCTAGAAAATTAACAACAAGCGTTTATTTTGTTATTTTTCAAATAGTCTCAAGTCTATCAAGATTAGTTATCTTGAGAAAATAGCATTTGTTGTCATGAGATGGCAAGACAAATAATTCATAATCTTAAGATAACAGTCCAGAAAATTATAACATGACCTCTGGACTCCTGTAAACTCTAGTACTGATGCTGATGATCCTTCAGACTTGCTGTGTTTTCCATTTCTATGCATGAAGGTCAGCTGTGAAGTGGGTTGGTATTGTAGCCCATACATTCAGCAATAGAAGATGTTACACTAAACACCCAAACAGGGAATCCAGTCTGAATTGATTTAATCTCTGCTGGTAATTATACCCTGTAATGTCAGCATATCATTTCTTATTGAAAGCAATGGAAACGGCAACAGAGAAAGTCATTTCATTCCCATATTAGAGATATAATGACACATATATTTTTGATTCAGATGTCAAGGTTCAAGTTGTTTTTTTGATATTTCATCTCAGTTTTTCTGGGGTCTAATTATACACATTGGTTCTGCTCAAATGAAGAAAAGTTTTTAGATAGAACTTTTTAGATAGACATGCCTGCCATGCCTGCCCTTAAACAAATTAAGTCCCAAAAGTTGTAAACCCCTAGACTTTATAAATAATTTCTAAAAGAAAATTAAAACGTAGGTGTGTGCAGAGCATAAGCCCCTCCCACATCTCGCTCACCCAAATACTTCATCGTTAGTGGTTAGAGTATCAGAGCATCTCGTTAGAGACTGAAAGCATATCGGTGATGTAGTTTTAAATATCGCCGCTGTCCAAAGAGAAACATCTCTCAAAAAGTTTTTAACTTTTAACGTAAGTCAGTGTAAAGAGGTTTTATTTCGAGTGATTTTGGAGGATTTCTATTGGTTCATTTACCATAAAACTTTTCCACAATATGAAGGACAGCTGTGAAATGATGTACAAATACAAAAATCAACAAAAAAGGAGATACATGTCGTTTTTGGACAGTGAAAACATGTTCCAATTCAAATATTATCATGTTTGGACTGTAGTGTAGTCTTGTCTTGTGTATATTAAGGATTATTAATCTAAGTGCATTCAGATTAGTCTGTACGGCTTAACCAGGTTGCTTTGCCTCCAGTCTGCTTGGCTTCAAATGTTCATATATATTATATTGTGTTTTGTATCCAAGTATTTATTTGTAAATGTTACCACAATGCAGGTACTCATACACTTATGAAAGAATTGCAACTATAATTACTTAAAACAAATAAGCCAGCTGAACACAGTAATAAATTCAGTTTTTTTATTTTTATTATTTTCTGCAACATAGCATATTTGAATTCAAGGCAACACGTATATAAGGAATATGTTCAAAGATTACATACTACGCCCTCAATTAACAGGAAGCATACATTCAAATAGGACGGTCACTGTTAACAATTGGTTAAAGTTAACTAACTAACACGATTACAAAATCAGCAACTGAGAAAAGGTATGCAAAAACTATAGAAGACTATAAAATGTGTACTAACTGTGTGTATAAACTGTGTTACAATATATGTAAAAAAGAAAAAAAAAAGATAGAAACATATGTTTTTGTAATACCAGCCATTGAAACTTAATGTGATAATAATACAGAATATGAATTTCAAAGAAAAATGAAAGTCTGCATAATCACAATGGAGAAGATGGATTCAAATCAAAGCATTTTCAGAAATAACTGCAGTATAATACAGCTGAGAAGGTTGTATGTTGTGAGTATGCGTCTACTGATGGCTTTCATGGTCTTGGTGTGGCAAAGCGAGCCTCTTCTTTAGGGTCAAGGCCAGTAGACATGATCCAATCCAGATCTGGTATCCTTGCTTGTTGGATCTGCAAAATAAATGGAGGGATATGTTAATATTTCAAGCAAAATCTTATTAAACAGACAACAAAGTCACATCTGCTAGTATGGTCTAAAGTGTATGCACAGCATTAGCAACCACAGAATCCACACAATGTGCTGTTGCTCAGTGTTTTTTCTCTGCAAAAGCAAACCTGAAGCAAAGCATGCGAGGCTTGAGCTGAATCAACTATGCTCTCACTTACAGTCTAGCCATGTCAGCCCCAAGAAAGAATCAGTGTCTATCAACCAGAACAGCCGATATCATTGATTTCTACCAAAAATGGCTCTACTTCAATGTAATTGTCAGTCATTAATGCGTCGAGTGCTGTGAAATGTCATCCAGCATATGTTGTAGGTGAAGTATAACTTTAAATATCTCTAGTTTGTTTCTCTTAAGTATCTCAACATCTCAAAATCTCTCAACATATTACATTGACATTACAGTTCCTAATTAATATCTTGAGTTAAATATTATATGGTTATGTCATTACTCACATATTTAAAGGTTTCTAATTTTCTTTTATCCTCTTAGTTGGCCAGGGCCCACCAGCAGGCCCAAAGTTTTATTACACACTTCTATACCCTAAGAATAGCTCAGCCAGTTTGCATTGAAGTCCCTGTAGTTACAGACTAATAAGCCATAATATACAATAAGCCTGGAATTTTAGTGGCTAACAAACTTCAGCTCCTCTTCTGACGTACGTGATGTAAATAAAATGTCAATAGCCACTGTTTTGTGTTTTGTTGTGAAATGTGCATTGCAGAGACACTTACCGAGTCAGTTCTTTACAGTGGTGGTGATAGGAACCAGGGGTCGCCATGGCAACAACGCAAATCTAGCCCTTTTATTTACTATCCAAAATGTCTTCTGCGTTTTATTTGTAATGCTGATCATGGTAAAATAGTGGTCAATCTGAAAATATAGTTTTTCCTCTGGTACTATTTTGCCTCATAGCACTGAGCACGTACAAAGTCTTATCTCAAAACTATCGCCAAAACAATGTTTCAGGCCTCACGCAGCATATTCATGACCATTTTGTGTAATTAAACTCCATGATGTAGTTTTTAGAGGCATTAAGTGCTTCAGACGTTGGGTTCCTATCACCACTGCTGTGAACAGTTCTGACTCAATAAGTTTCTTTAGAATGGAGCATTTCTCATCAAACCTCTCTGAATGACTTTGTTTGCATCTAAACCACTTTGTACTTCTACTCAAGTTGTTTTTGAGCTTCTACTAGAGTGTGGTAAAAATGATCTACTTGTAAAGGGTTTTGTAACAGGTTTGAGAGCATCCGGTCTGGTGGAAATCCCCACAAAAACAAGAGGCGGTGTTTCTGCAGCTTTCATGACTATTTTCTGAAAACATTTACCAGTCATTGCAACCGTTATCACCTTGAGACTTTTTCCCTCTACTCAGAAAAGCATCACACTCAAATGTTGAATGTGTACTCAGAATATTCAACATTTCACATGTAAGAACTAACAAAATCACTCAGTATACTGCCTACGGGTTGGATCAGGTCACATGGCCTCAACATCAAACACAAAGTTTAACTCTATGTAGGCAGTTATTTTTTTTTTACCAATTGGTTTGCAGTATATATACTGAAATAAAATGCTTGAACTTATATATAGTGTAATTTTACTCCACACTTACAGAACTGATGTAGATTCCAGTAGCATGATCATAATTCATAGTTGTAATCCATTGTTCTAAAGCATATAAACACCCCCCTTTATCCTTATTATGTTAGCACAATACTTGTATTGTAAATGTATTATATTCTTATCAACGCACATGCAAGTTGGTTGATGAGCATAACTTGAAAGTGTGTAGTTCTGTAGTTTGCGCCAATCATGTAGTGTGGAGGCAATTTTTCACAAAATAGTGGTGAAATTTGTCATTTGTTTGGGATCTCTCTCATTTTCAAGATAATTAAGGATTATTTTATGACTTATGGAGGAACTCGTGTGCAGACTGTTGCATTAACACTTCAAGAGTCTTTCTGCAGCTAATGCAGTGGTTTGGGATATTTGGCCCATAGAATTCATTTTGTGAGTAAGGGAAAGTCATACAGCTGTTATTTTAATGTAAACCAGAAAAAAATCTCTTCAAACAATACTAATCATTGAACTCACTTTAGCTCTTTAGCTCATCCACACTTTCAGAGTCATCAGGATGTTGAATGCGATGGTCTTCAAGAAGAGAACCCTCAGCCAAAATATGCTCAATGTCAAGAAGTTGGTCTTCGCATCTGCAGAGCAGAAACATTAAAAACAATGTTACAAATAGCATATTTTGAAAAACAGATAAATAGTTAATAATTAAATATAAAATGAGTTGCCAGTTTATTCAGTATACCTACTTTGCATCTACACTTACTGCTCATTTTATAAGGTACACTAACACACATAGGTCACACTGACTGACAAACTGATACTAGACACAATAGAATAGAATAGAACTTTATTGGTCAACCAAAGTTGTAAACTGGCCAACCTTGTCAGTGCCACTGCTGTGCTGGGAATGATCCATCTCTAAAAGAGTATCTGATAAGAGTATTGATGGACTGCAGACTCGTACACAGATATTTTGTGTATTGTGTATTAAACTGAGTTTAATTTGTAAAAACATTACCCAAGCAGGGATTCAAACCCCAATCACCCGCATACAGGGCTGTAATGTTGCCCGCTATACTGCTTAATAGCTATGAACCAATGAGTTATGAGCATTTAAAAGCTCCACATAGCCATAAATCTCAAGTTTTTTTATAACACAAACTTAGCTGAGAAAGATACTAGCGCACTTTGCTGCTTACATTTCATTTGGAATTTGGAATCAAAATAGCCACATTGTGCAATTTTTTGCTTTCGCAAAGAGATTATTTATCATGTTGATCTGTATTGATATATACATCCATGTGAAAAGGCCTAGTTATTGAGGTGGATTGGCGGTCAGTACTGCACCAGAGAGGGGCGCCCAAGAGCAATGGAGTTTGTGGAACCCCAACTGACCCACAAGTTTTATTCCCAGGTTGAGGCTGAACTGAAGCTTGGCGAAATGAATCTTGAAAAATGGCCATAAAAAGTTATTTTTATACACACAGACCGAGGACCTTTGTACAGTCTGAGGGTTCAAGCCCACCCGCTGGGATCTATCTGAGCATGTGCCTGATGGGTAGAGGAGGGATGATAAATTGTGCAAAAAAAGATGGGCAACAGTCAGTAATTGTAAACTTGCAAAGTGAACCTGTATGGTAGGTGTACCTAATAAAGTGGTCTATGAGTTTAGGTGCACCTAATGAACTAGCAACTCAGTGTAGGTGACGTTTTGGTTTGAATGATTAACCCATAACAGATGGACAAATACAAACAGAGGTATATACAGAAAATTTAAACTACTTACTGCCATCAAACTCTACATCTAAGTCCTCTTCAGTGCATGGTGCTGTTGCTGGAAAATAAACAAATAAAATTAGTTTCCTGGTACAACTTATTGTATAAATGAAAAGCATGTTAAAAATTAACAACCATAGGTCACATGAATGAATTTGTTGCGCTCTCCATTTAGGAGAAATAAAAATGTTGTGTAGTATCATTGTTGTTACTGTAGTTTAGGATGCTTTGTATGAGTATTTATAAATACTTACGCTCTTCGCATTTTGTATAATTTGTTGAAACCCTGCTGTAGTATGACTCTTTGGAAAACAGGACAGGTTCTGGACCATCCAAAGAGTCATCGGTGCCACTTTTTTTTGTGAAGCCAGTGGCCAGACAAATGTTATCATCCTTAAACTTGTAATACTGAGGAGGCTCTTCATGCTCTGTTAAAACAAGAACAAATCATTTCCATTATATTTTTGCTTCTCTATAAGAAATAGTACATGAACTCATGTATTATGCTGCTGCATAAGACCGACAGAAACATGGTTTACGAAGCACATTAAGAGGTTTCACACTGGGATGTCAAACTTGCTCAATCCTAGCCAAGATATGGTTGATGAGGAACACACTTATTCCAGCCCAATTCTGACACCAATGAATTGATGACAAAGACACTCAAAACCTATTCAAGCATTTTACAAAATGTCTTATTTGGATTAACAAAATTTGTTAGTAACCCACAAAACATTGATAAAATAAATAGCACAATGAACTTCTAGTAGCAAATTTGATTTAAAAGATACTAGTACCTCCATTTGCACTGAAATACAAGTAATAAGTGAATAAGTAATAAGTGAAAGTACAAGTAATAAGTAAAAGTACAAGTAATATGAAAGAACAATAACCTGCATAGCCTATTCATTTTAGTTCATTAATATAATTACTATATTGATGCATAATTAGTAACATACTAGACCTTTATATGTAAATATTTTTAATGCATACAAGTCTGTCATGTGTTACCTATTACTGTTTTCCACGTACTGCAACACTGATATTATTAGTTTTGGTAAATATTATTACCTGAATAGGCAGTGTGCTATTACTTTTGGAAGCTCCTTAGCGTCTCACACAGTGTGTTTTTGAGACACAAAAACTGTTTGTAATTCTCTGATACTGATAAGATGTGCTGAAGCTAGAAATTTTTTTTATTACAATACTTGGTTTGTATCTGTATTTTCATTATATTACATAACAACTTAAAGTAGATACAGTGTATGTACTAAACTAAGAAGTTAAAACTTTGATAATATTGACGAATGATAATAAACATTGTAGACTTTTATTTTGCATTGTTTTCTAATGAACATAATGGTTCCTGACATATTTTAAACTAAATAAGCAACTGACATTTTCATTTTTATGAGCACAACTGATATTGAATGATGTAAAATTATTTTAGTAAGCAGTAAAGAACATAACAATATATATTTACAATGTTAAAGTGGTGTACAATTTAATGGTCAGAGTCAGTTTTTTTCAAAAAAAAGAAAAGGTTAACATGTAAATAAACCATATATGTATATTTTTGTAAGCATTTTAACACTGATGTGGTTAATTTACAGAAATAGTATGTAAATTCACAAATTATCACCAACATTTGCATTTATTTTAATGGTAAATATAACTCTTATTATTATGTCAGAATAACTAGTTGAACTAGTGACACTATTAATTTACAGTAAAAGGCAGAATTTCTAAGAAATTAAGTGACTCTTATATTACAGATTTTACCATCATTGAGAAAAGATAATTTTACCATTAATTAATGTTTTTTGTCTGGATCCCCTGCTGCTGGTCTTTTAACCGTATTTTTAATATATATATGGTTGTCAATACTTATATTTAAAACAATATGCTTCCCATAAAATCTGTTTGTATACAAATATGTACAAATCGACAAAATTACCAGCTTAAACAAGCTTACTTGATTGCACAGTTAATTTGGTCCCTTTTCCAAAAATGATCTTTTGGTTTCCAGTCACACAGACTGAAGGCTAGCCACAAAAACACGTATTCACTGTTAGACATAGATAAAGGAATAGTTTTCAATGTTGCTTTAAAAACAAATTAAAAGTTCTTGCCTTTTAAGTATTTTGAAATGTGTTTTATGCAGGTTTTTAGAAAAAAAGTTTTTGAAATCTGATTTTAAGCTCTTAAACGTTTGTAGTACAAAACTGTAACTGTTGAATGACTTTATTACAAAAATATTTCATATTTTCAAAGACATTTCAATTTATGCATCATTAGCTGTAATAGTCCTCGATGAATTTATAGTTTCTGCTGTGATGTGCAACAACCAAAATCTTGAATTTTGTTGAAATTTCAAATTATCTGAAATAATTTGAAGATAAATACTACATTTTTTACCCAAATTTTTAATCGCCATTGAATAACTGTCAAAGATGAATAAAACTAACCAAGAAAGTTATGGTCATATAACTACAGTGATTTATTTATTTTTTTTTTTACATGAATTTTCATCTCTTTTCACAAAGTATAGCTAAACATTAGCTGAAAAGAGTTATATTGTTCTGTAACATTTCCGAAAGTGGTACTCATACATTGGCACAATGTATACTGAGCATTTAAAGACAATAACAAATTTATAAACTTTATAAAGAAAAAATTCAATATTAACTCATTATGATAGTAGTTCTAGATAATGTTGGAGTGAAATGTAAATTCTGCTTACTGTTCATGATTGTGACTCTCATGCCAGATCCAAATATTAACTTATTGTAGTCATTCACACAGTACATTTACTTTCTACAAAAACCCGAAGTCAAACTACATCATAATTTTATGTAATTTTATGTATTTTTTAGAATATTTGTCTCATGCTGTCTATTTTATAACTTCGATTTTATGTTTCTCTTAAATAATTCGATTTTATGTTTTATGTATTTTTGATTTTTTATTAGAACTTTGAATAATACACCTGCCCATATAAATTTATGTGTAGTTTAATTTTCTGACTTTGTCGTAGAAATATATGTAAAATATCCATATTTTTATCTGAATTTATTTTTTCCACTTGTTTACATAATTGTCCATCATTCTAACATTCTAACATTAATGTACCTGCTACTTAACTAACCCTGAAGCTAACTTATTTAAGTTAAAACTGCATTTTTATTTAATTGCTGTTTTTTTTAACAAAAAGTAAAACTAGACTGAACTTACTTGACACCACTGTCAGCTGGGTGCCCTTCCCAAATATCACTTTGTTTTGATTTTGAGTCACATAGCTACTGACCTCCTCACAAAAACAAGCAAGTAACTTTGCATATGTGAATTTTATATTTAAAAGTTGTTGCCTTATTTGTGTATTACTTACTATTTTGCAGAAATACACATTTATGCATCATTATACATATATAAATATCAATATTTTCTAAAATCTGTCTTTAGTATATATTAAATGAATACTATGATATGGTATGCATAAAACATTTTAATAAAAATACTGAAGCTGTATCTTTGCATGAAAGAAAATACATAAATCTGTAATATTAACTGATCACAAAAAAAAACAAAATGACCTTACTTGACTGCACAGTAAGTCGAGTGCCTTTCCCAAATATAACTTTCTGTGTATTTTGAGTCACACAGTTACTGACCTCTTAACAATAAGGTATTCTGCCTATCCCCCAGTAGAAAAGATGAATGTATTGCTCTTTTACTTCCATAATTCTAATATAATAAATATTCGATCTAATATAATAAATATTCGATATTCGACTCGATTTCAAAATTAGTATCTCTACTGTATTGTTTATCTTGGAAAAATATTCAGGATGCCAAATTACAATACCAGTTTGGACTTTAACCCAAAATGTCATTATTTATCAGAAATAGGAAACAATTGGATGAGCTATTACAATAGTTAAATTACTATTACAGGTTAATATTAATAAATGGTTAACAGTTAAATTACTATGATCAATGTTAGACCAAAAATCTATCTATAACTGAATTTAATCTTGATAAAGATATAAAGGTTGGTTTGAAAATGCTGGTGCTATGCAATGTTATACTAAATAAGAGCAAAGACATTGAATTTTAGAGAATTTTAGAGTCAAATGAATATTGCATAGACCAGATTTAGTTTGATATCTATATTTTTGCATTAGTGATACAGTTAATTGTACCTTTCTTTTACAAATGATTCCCATTTTTGCAACCACACCGGTTCAATCAACAGTGCAAACAGTATAAAGAATAAAGAATATATTGGAAATATATTAACATGAAAATTGCCATGTTTTCTCAAATCATTGATAACTAAAAAAACATTCTAAATCTGAAGTTACCGTTGATTAAAGAATTCATAGTCTACAACACTGAAAAGATTAAAGTTGAAAATTTTTTGAAAAGTTACAAAGGCATTTTAATAGTTTAGTTTAGTTTAAGCAAAACGAGAAACGTCATGAACTCAACTCACTTCTTTCAATTGTCAGTCTTGTTCCAGAGCTGAATACTATCCTATTGTTATTATTCACACAGTAGAAAAACTAAACACAAAAATGCCACAGGACAGGGAAGTTTCAAGGACATGAAGCTCTCATTTGAAATCTTTTTTTTTTTGTATTACAAAAGCCAATGATGTGTTTATGTACATAAAATGTATGATGTCTTATTTATTATGCGTTTCCTTCATGTTTGCTAACCTGTCATGTTGTGCTAATTTTGTACCTCATAGGTGCATTGTTTTTCATATTTACTATCACCTTTTGCTACATATTGATTTACACTGCATTAAGTGTTAGTATTAGTACAAATGATTATATGTTCTTGGTTTATCTACTTTTACAATTACGCGTTATGATGTTTTATTAGCTATTACAGTCTTTGATTTTGAATACATCATAAAGTTAGTTAGTTTTATGCAATATGACAGATACTCATCTGCTCTTCATTCTTTACTTACTTGGTTCCACATATAAACGTGTTCCAGATCCAAATATGATTTTTCCATAGTTGTTAGTCACACAGTGATTTGTTGTAGTATAAAATTAGCACCCAGGATTCTGACTGAACAGAATGTCAAGTGAATGAATGTATTGGTCTCCATAGCATTACACAGTTTTACACAATTTTGCATATTATTAAGTAATTAATATGTTGTTAACGGCTACAAAGCTAGATGGATTTTATATTCTGAATCGACTATCTAAGCATATATACAATAATTGAAAAGTTAGAAATGAGACTGAATAAAAGTTTTTGAGCATAGTTCAAACTAACCCAAATCAAGTGTGGTTCTAGTCCACCAAAGAGAATATCAATGGACATAGTAATTTAAAGGCGTATGTAATATATAGTTACACGTATGTTTGTGATAAAATATATGTTATCAACAAATTATTAAACTAAT